TGTGTGTGTGTGTGTGTGTGTGTGTGTGTGTGTGTGTGTGTGTGTGTAAGAGTGAAGGGTGATATGAGCTGACGGGGTGATAAGCAGGACAAAAATCAATAAAAAGTTTTCTTAAAAAAAGATACACTTGGCAAAGCTGAACTTGTTGTTTATGAATTCTCACTAAATCTGTTAAAAACAAAAACCTATCATCTTATTTTTTTTCTCTCTCCCTGACTATTGCAAATGGTAGCAAGAGCACAAGAGAGTTCCAAACTACTGAGGTCATAAACAACAAGATAATTCAACAAATAAATATAAAAATAACTGCCAGAGAACTGGCCTGGACCAGCTTTAAGTCAGGTTTACAAACTGTCCCATACTGTAAATGTCTGATACAATCCCAAAGCCCTGGTTATGCTCGACTCTGACCTAATAGTTATAAACACACGTTCTGTGTAGTCTGCCCCAGTGCCACCATACTTAGTGTCCCATAAGCTAAGTTAAAATGTATTAGTAAATGAATCCTGTAGACAGGAGACAAATGAACATTATTTAAAATTTGGCAATTTTAAATAGAGTGCCGTATATCCTTGTCAATACAAAAAGCTTTCAGAGTCTGTTCTGTAGCAGGTTTTATGTTATGGATAAGGTGCACTCTGTATCTTGTTTTAAGAGTTTTTGTTGTTGCTGCTGTTCACTGAGACAGGGTCTCGGTGAATAGCCTTGGCTAGGCATTAAACTCAGACATTCAGCTGCCCTTAAGTTTTCTGAGCAATTATGCAATAAGAGAAAACGGGGTAAGACGAATGCTTCCCTGCAACTCACCTGAAGTGCAGAAAGAGAAACCGCACCACAGAGACATATAAGCGGATACACTGGGAAGAGAAAGCGCTCCTCTTTGTGAGGCTGGATGAAGAAAATTATAAACCAAATATACATTGGCGCCAAGGTAAGCCAATATGGATGTCCTAAATTTTGAACTGCAAGACAGAAAACATTCATGTCATCACATGAACAAAACAATATATTTAGTTTAAACTTTTTTTATTTAATTTGATACTATATCCTAGGACATCCCATAAAATGTTTCAGCTTAGGAATTTACCCTCATTCTTAGTATTACGGAGACACCGAACAGAAAGGAACACACTCCTTGAGTTCTTCTTCCAAGAGATCTAAAACGTAGAGGGAGGTATAATATGCTAGATTTGGTTAAAACACAAGGAAAAGTACAGTTAATGGATAATAGAGTTTAATAAATTCTAGTTGGGCACAGATAAAAAGCATGTTCTTTGTGATGTGTCCTGCCACTAGGACTGAAGACTCCTTAAATTAGTCAAATCCACTTTCTGAGTAATCCTTTTATGCAAACACCGGTGGGTTTGTTAAAATAGGCATGCGTAGTAAGAATTCTGGTCTTTACATAACAGAACCCACAGTTTTAATTCCAGGTTTGAGATAACGAGATGTTTCAGCTTGTTCCTAGCAGCAGAATATTTGCCTCATGTGTGCTCTGGCAGAGGCATGATTCTTCCAGTTTTAATTCTGGGGACTCTAGAGAGGGTATAAAATGCCAGAGCCCCAAGAGAGGAGGCATGGCTATTCCTCCTCCTGGTTCCTGCTCCTGCTGCTACTGCTGTTGCTGGTTTGTCAGAAAGAGACAAGCTGGAGATATCCTGATAAGATGAAGACTGGACTTGCCCCAAGAAACTCAACACCCCTAATCAGCAGGAAGCAATCCAAAAAAGATCTCAATACCCCTCTCCCCACTAACCGTCTATCTCTCCTACCTAGTGTTGGAAGGAATTAGGATAGAACAAGGGAGAAGGGAGGGAGAGGTATAAGAACCCAAATAAAATAGCCTCAAAAGGAGACCTATAGGTGATGTCCAGACATGGGACTTGAAATAAAATAGCTCTAAGTAAGTTAAGTAAATATTGCAAACAGGCATGGATAAGGAAGGGGGGGGGTTACAATTCTTGAACCCTTTTCATCAAGCCCCAATCCAGTCTGCTCTATTTTGTTTTGTTGTCCATTTTGGCTTCAAATGCCTCATTCTCTGGAGTGCTGCTGACAGGAGTGTTACCATGTTCAGTGGGAGTGTTTCAAAACAAACATAAATGTACTCTAAAAAGGTGTTTCCTGATTACATTTTCTCTCCTCTATAGTATTGCATCTACTCTGAATCACAATGTTGGAGCCAAAACGTACTTGAAGAATCTGAAAGGAAGGAAGGAACACAGTAGTCACTGAGGCCCACGTTCCTGCTAGAGAATTCCATTCACAATGAGAGGGACATGGAAAATCCTGGCAAAAGGTGGACAGACAGCCCCCCCTGGTGTTCATTACATCTATAGCATGACAGAAAGAGCCCTCCCAAGCTGTCGGATTTAGCTTGTTAGACCATTGGTGCAACTGTGAACTCTTTGGAAGTAAACACTACTGACCTTGGGTCAGTAGACAGCTCAGTGATTTGCACTGCCATATAAACTTGCCAACCTGAGTTCAATCCCCAGAACCCACAATGGAAAGAGAACTGCCTCCCAAAAGTTGTCCTCTGACCTCCACATACGTTACAAGATATACCCTCCTCTCTTTTGGTATTATATACAAGATATACCATCTCTCTCCCACTCCCCTTTCCTCTCTTTTCCCTACCCCCACAGATCATTTTCTAAATCTTTTTAAATGAGTGAAGATCCCCTCACTGTCTAGACAGAGCATGCTTTATAAACCATTAACAAGAAAAGCAGAATGGGTGAGAGGGAAAGATCAATCATCTGCCACGCAGATCCAACTGAGATGTCTCGAGCTAAATCGTTCCAAATCTCTTGTGAATTTCTGCTCAAATCTGTCTTCCACAGTGCAGGCACCAGATACCCAGATCTTCTGCTTGAGAAAACAGCAGCTGTGGGACTCAGTCAGAGCAAGCAACATGCTGCCACACGGCAGAGGGTGCCGGGAGCATTGCTCTCTGCCAAGTCCAAAGCTGCTGCTGCTTCAGTTCCTGCTTCAGAGTGCTTGCCTGCAACATGGGTTATGCAGCGCTGAACACAACCATCCGCAACTACAAGTGGGATGGTTCAAACAGGCTTCTCTCCTCAACTCTTCCCAGTGTCTCTGCTTCCTGGTGACATCAGATCGCAGTGAACTCCTTCCCTTAAGACAGTGGTTCTCAACCTTCCTAATGCTGTGACCCTTTAATACAGTTCTGAATGTTCTGGTGACCTCCAACCTAAAAATTATTTCCGTTGCTACTTCGTAACTGTGATTTTGTTACTGTTATGAATTTCTTTTCGAGAAGAAAAGAAGAAAAGGCCTTCCGCCTCCCTGAGTGCTAGGATTACAGGTGTGCACCACCACACCCAGCTTGACTATTAATGTCAAGATCTCATACACTGGATATCTGATATGTGGCCCCCAAAGAGGTTGCAGCCCACAGGTTGAGAACCACTGCCTAAGAGAATACAAAGCTCCAGCTTGCTTAATTCAAGCAGTTAACCAAACCATAGCATGGGTTCAAATAATCTACAAATACAGACTGAAATTTCAGTCATTCAACCATTTCCACAGAGAAAATGGAGACTAAAATGAGCAGATTTTCCACTTACTATTTAACCTGCTACTTGCTTCTCCTCCCCCAAAACCTACCATTTCACATACAACTTACCATGGAATCTCTGCAGCAGGTACTCCATAAGAAAAGTCAGCGGCAAGACCAGAAGAGCCAAAGCAAAGGCAACATTGAAATTCAGAAATCCATTGATTAAATAGAAATACCATGGTTCTGTACCTGAGGGGACCAGACAGGAAATCGTTAGTGATGCCTTCAGCACCTGTTACAGTGTCTGACCCTCATTCTCTTTGCTCCAGTAACACTGACAATGTAACACTCAACTGAATGAAAATCCACAAGCCTATGCCTTCTTCAGTGCTCTGCCATACACAAGAGCAGAAGATGGAAAACAGGCTGGTTAAGATGCCGTGATGGCAATTACTAGGTCTTAACTACTTCACCTTATTCCCAGCAATAGAAATCTAGTCCATCTTGTCCTCTACGTAGAGGATGCAGAACTCCTCTTCTCCTGAGGATGTGGTAACACTGTGCCCCAGCACACACATGGGTTCAGCCCTCACCCGGGCCTGACCCTGCAGGCGCCTCCAGAAGGAGAAACACATTTCTCCTCTGCATTACCAGCCTCAATTCTGTTCCAGCAGCACCACAGATTCAGACAGACCCTGACTGCACCTACTCCCAAATGCCATGCCCTAATGGGACAACACTTTGACATTAGAAGCTTTACAAGCACAGAACCAGGTGAAGCTGAAACATCACAAGATATAATTTGAATTTAACTATAATTTCAACAATCTGCAGACCAAATGATCACAACCAACAGATAAACTTGCTTGGAGCTATGCAGCCCCTTGAAAAGTTCAACTCCTATTTCACAGTCATACACATAGGTACATGTGCTTCATAAGAAACACTATCTCAGAGCTGGGAGTAGAGCTGAATGGTAGGGTACATGCCTAGCATGCGTAAGCGTGTGTGTCTGTGTGTGTGTAGTGTATGTGTATACATATAACTATGTACATACTTAATAAAAAGCAAAGCTTAGCATAGTTTTGTTGTGTTGTGTTTTATGTGTGTATGCCGGTACAGGTGCTCATAAAGGCCAAAAGAGGGCACCCGAGCCCCTAGATATCAACCTGGGTGTCAAATGACCCTTTCACAGGGGTTACATATTAGATATCCTGTATCTCAGATATTTAAATTACAAGTCCTAACAGCAGCAAAATTACAGTTATGAAGTACCAACAAAAAGAACTTTACGGTTGGGCTCACCACAACATGAAGAACTGTATAAAAGGTCACAGCATAAGGAGGAAGGTTGCGAGGCCCTGCCCTAGAACTGCAGGTACATGTGGTTGTGAGCTGCCCGACATGGTGTGGGGAATCGAACTTAGATCATCTACAAGGGCAGCAGGCACACCTAACCATTGAGCCACCTCTGCAACCTCCCCAGCTCCACCCCACCCCCGCCTCCTCCAGATTATGATCAGAGAGCCAGATCCTGCTCTGAACCCAAAGGATTCAGATGAAGCAAAATGGCTAAAACAAGTCTCATTCACATGGTTTTTATTCTGTAACTCAAAATCCTTAACCTTGAATGATAAGAAACAGCCCCCTCACTGAACATTTAGCTGTTTTCTTATCTGCCTTTCCCTCTGTATGATTACTTCAATCCAGCAGTGAGTGACACATGCGGTTTTAATCAGTGTGTGTTGTGACATCCGCCTTGCACCATAGCAATTTCCTGCAATCAGCATTGCTTAAAAGGGTAATCAGGAGGCAGAGGAAGAGTCAGAAGAACCTAACATTTTGTAGCCTGCACAGCAAAATAAGGTTAGAAACTAAAACCATAATGTTAGAGACAGAGGAGCAAGAGGGAAGAGGGTTTGCCAAGGAAGGGCTCAAGTTCAATTGTGTGCCACCTCTGGGAAAAGTTCATTCCCGATCAAAGACAACTAAATGGTTAGGAACAGAAGTCCTGTCCCAAGTCAGGACATCTTTAACCTTTTTTCCCCTATTAATCTTTGAGTTGTGTAAAACCTCTAGATGATTTAATTTTCAAGACAGAAAATGTCATCTCAGCCAGGCAGTGGTGGAACATGCCTTTTATCCCAGCACTCAGAGAGGCAGAGACAGGTGGATCTCTGTGAGTTCGAGACCAGCTTTGTCTACAAAGCGAGTCCAAGATAGCTACAGAGTCCTCTCTCGAAAAACCAAAAAGAAAAGAAAATGTCTTCTCTGGGTTTCAGTTAGTAACAGCATATTTTCTAAACCGAATCCTTTAGGATCCAGGTTCCTGAGAGGTAAACCTCACCAGCCACTCTCTCCAGCAATGCAGAGACAAGGCAACCTTTGACTCACTGTATTTCATAACAAAAGTCTAGAAATCTGGGCCTGTAGAGAAAAGCGGATAGCCAGAGAAAATGGAAACCTTCTCTGTGAAACCATGTAGGATGCTAACCATCAGTGGAGGGAGGCTGCCCTCTCTGATACTTGCTATATGGATGCTTTCTCGGTAAGCACCCCCATTTGAAGCAACTCTCTCCACCACAGCTTACCATACCACACACTTCCTGTGTGATCTTGGTGAGCTCATAAATCAAGTTCTCAGCTAGTTCGTGCACATTTCCTAATAGATGTGCTTCCCTGAAGGATGGAGCAAGCACTGGGAAATAAGCCAAGACCAAAGAAAGGTCAAGTGACCAAAGTCTTTAAAAAAAAAAAAAAAAAAAAAGGCAAAAAGGGACAGAAAAGGATGAATTCTGCTAGCTGATGTCCTTCCATACCTGATGGCAAACACACCCTGACAGGGCATCAGCTTCTACCTCAGGCGTTAGCATGCTCATGCTCAGAAGGCTGAACTCCAAGTTGACAATCCAAGAAAAACACACTTCAGGTTGACAAGCTGACCATGACAGGAGCAAAAAAGGACTCTGCAGCAACGTCGCTGCAGGAGATGACTCACCAGCAACTCTCTGTAGGGAAAGTGCCTCAATCCCTTTCACTTAATGAGCTAAGGGAGCCTTCAAAGAGGCCAAAAGTAGGAGTAATGTTTACTGATCCATAGACTGAATGACGGGGAACTTCTTTTTAAAGACCTGTAATTCTATAGAACTGTGAGGCCTAAATAATAGGTCTTCTTACAAATGTCCCACTGGCACCCAAGAGGCCAAGGTCACCAAGAGCAGAGGCTCCAGGATAGCCTTGCCTGCCAGTCAACTTTAAGCAGGCTGCATCAGAACCCCACGAAGCTTCACCCTTTAGCTTAAGAATAGAAAAAACCTAACAAAGGTTCTCTCTTGCCTTCACCTCCTGAAACCTCCGGTAACAGCAAAAACTGACGAAACACATCACCAGTCTATGGGATCCTGACCTGACCTGCAAAGCACAGGTCTGGAGAAAACCCATTGTTCTCTTTTCAGACCCTCCTCTTGGCCATGTGCTTCTTAGCACATCCACTCACCAGAGAGTAACACCTGAGAACTGGAGATCCTACCAGAGGCAAAATTTGGTGCCTCTAGTAGAAAGACCAACCGCTTCTTTTGCTGCTGTGTTAAATTTTACATTCTGACCTCTGACCCCATACAGATGTTTTGTCCATGACTGCAGTTTTGGTCTACACTACTCTGTATTTCCCAAATACCAAGGTCTCATTACTTTTACTTTTTTTAACCAAACTCATCCTTTCTCAACAAGGACTTGGCACAATACTCCCATGTGAAGCAGGCTGTCAGCGTGTGTCTGTGTGTCACTCCATCATTCTAACTGGCCAGGGCTCCTGACCATCTTCCAAACAAAATGCACAGAACTCCAGAAGTGGCACTTCTCAGCCATTCTTTGGGATGGGCCACCCTTTCTACACCTTGTAACTCATGTTCTCAGATTTATTTTATTTTTTAAAAAAGATTTATTTATTATGTATACAGTGTTCTGTCTGCATGTGTGCCTGCATGCCAGAAGAGGGCACCAGATCTCAACTTAGATGGTTGTGAGCCACCATGTGGGTGCTGGGAATTAAACTCAGGACCTTTGGAAGAACAGCCAGTGCTCTTAACCTCTAAGCCATTTCTCCAGCCCTTATTTTATTATTTTATGTGTATGAGTGCTTTACCTGCATGTAGGTCTGGTGCATGCCTTGTGCCTGTGGAGGCTGACAGAAGGCATCAGATCTCCCAGAACTGGTTTTACAGTTGTGAGCCACCATGTGGGTGCTGGGAATCAAGCTTTCTGCAAAACCAGCCAGTGCTTTTAAATGCTGAGCTATTTCTCCAGCCCCATGCTCCTTCTTTTAACAAGCTTATTCTTCAGGATATTATTTAAGCCAACAAACTATAGAGGACCCCCTTGATACCAGAACCAATAAAGAGAGGCTATTTCCATGCTTACAATCTAACAGAGAGACTTAAGTCACCTGGCTCACAGCTGAAATGTTTAAACAGAAAATTCTACCTCTGCTGTAAAAACAAGTTTATCACCCTAGTCTTTAGCTGGGAATGCAGGTCAGTGGCAGTGTTGGCATGTGCCAGACCCTGTTTTAGCCCTGGCATCTAAAACAAACCGAACCAACAAGACAATGGTACCCTTGTCCTCCAGAGCAGTGCGCACGGGAGACCCAGTGCAGCCCACCCAGCACCTAGGAGGTAGGCTCCTGCTTTTCCTGACTTACACTGATCCTGACTCCAGCAGAGGGACTTGTCCCTGTGACTGTCTGCCTGCCTTCCCACATGCACACAATCTACTATGTTATACTTAAAGGTTTGCAGTCTTATGAAATAGCAAGTTTTGTGAGACAAGAGCCAAGTGCAGTGCTTCTTTAACTGAAGACTACTCATTGATCCAAAGGGGATAAACAGGCTTGCTGTGTTCTCACACATGAAAAGCTATTAAAACACACACACACACACGCAAAACCTATCACCAGAAGAAACTCTTAATTTTCAGGTTAAGTGAGTGCCTAACACAGCTAATGAGGCACTTCAAACAAGAAACTCCTGTAAATAGTAAAAAGAATGCAAAACAGTATCAAACCTTAGATGAAAGAGCCCTAGTTCTCATGACAAGAGACACCCAGCCTCCCTGATAACTTTGCAGCATCAAAGCACCCACAACAGCTGATACTGAACCAATTGTCAGCCAGCAAGTATTTTAAAGTATTTTACATGTATTATCCTTATTTTATGTAAAAAAATAAATCAATCACAAGTCAGCACTCATCAGGTCCAACCAAAGCAGTCCTAAGACAAAGAATGAGGGTCCTGATCGATACTCTAGATATCAATCAGTCCTTGTTGCCAACTTTTTACTATAAACCTATAATGTACAAGGAGTTCCAACTTAAAGCTATGATGAGAGTATTCTCTCTGTAAGAGACATGCTGAAGCAAGGAGTTAACCCTCTTAAAGAATGGAAGTCAGACTTGTATAAAAATTTTTCAGCAGTTATGGCAGGAGGATCACCAGTTTGAGGCCTCTGGTCTACAGAGTTAGCTCTAGGACAGCCAGGGAAACACAGAGAAACCCTGCAAAACTTTTGCCTCATGTAAGAGTCTAACCAGGACTCTACATCCTGTAGAGCAGAATTAAATTGAGTCAAATTAAAGCACATTTACAAAGTGGCACAAAACCTTGGGACTCTACTCAACCAAACACTGAGCAAAATGACCAGCACATGCTAATGTCCATAGCTCTACTATGTCCCCAAAACTAGCCCTGGGTCCCTGACCAAACCCATTAAACTAGGAATGTCAAGTCTTCTCTACTTTCCCTACTAGCCTGATTATTTCTAGAGCTATCTAAAGGGCTATCAAAGTGCACCACTTTCATATTTTCTCACAAAAGTTTTATAAGCAGCCAGAATATAATGACCCATTTATGAAAATGGAGAAGCCAGTTTTTCAAAATTAACACAAATTAACCTATTCACCTACAAAGAACAAATATATTTCAAACTGAGCACATGTAAATTGATTTTTACCATGCAGTCTGGACTGACTGGAATCAAATAAAATCTTATAAATATTCCAAAATAAGGAGCAATTTAAAACACGCAAACTTTCCCTAGCTGAAGGGAGACATCTAGAGGTTTCCAAGTAAGCTACTGGTTCAACTGGCCACGTCGCCAAGCAAATGTAGACACAGACGCTGACCTGTGATAGAATATCAACCCAATTCCTAACAGGCCAGGACATTCAAGTAGACTGAAGGAAAAGGAACTACGCTAACATCAAGGGGGGAATTGGTTCATAAAGCATTTACTGTCCTGGCTGATCTAGAAAATCTCTGCTCATCCATCTGTAACTGTCACCAGCTCAGATGCCCTTAGAAGTTAAATAAAATAAGATTGGAGTCAGGTGGGAAAGAGGCAGAGGTACCCAGGTACCTGCAGACTACATCCCAGAGGAATTACAGGCATTTTCTTTTCTTCTTAAACTGGCCAACCTACTCACTCTCTCTTGCTGACTCTAGTCTCATTTGCTCACTTTGCAGATTTTTACAAACTTTCTTTCCTGAAAAAAAAAACTAACATCAAATGTGTATATATGGAAAACATATTTAAGAATATAATCCTTAAAGTTAGTAATTCTACATGAAGGTGATGGGACACTTTTTATTTTCTTTTTGTTATTACATTTATTTTCTGGTACTAAGAAGTTTGGAGGGGTTTTTTTTGTCGTTGCTGTTTCTTAAGATGGGGTCTCATGTAGCCCAAGCCAGCCTCAACTTGCTATGTAGCTAGCCTTGAACTGCTGTTCCTCCTGCCTCAACCTTCCCAGTGCTAGAACTACAGACACATGCCACTGCAACCAGCTCAAAAGTAGTTTATGATTTAAAAACAAAACAAAAAAAAACAAGCATGGAGGTTCTATCACGTGGGAGACTGAGGCAGGAGGATTGCTACAAGTTTGAGGCTAGTTTGGGCTACAGAATGACACCATGCATAGTCTACACTCTCGGAGCTCTCCAAGTCTAGGTCTGGGGATAATGCTCAGCAGCACAGAGGGTCAGTGCCGTCTACCACCCCGGCCACGGAGACACAGCAGCTGTGCTACCTGTGCTACTGCTGTACTACAATAAAAAGCCCCGAGGGTCAGTGCTGACCACCACCCCGGCCACGGAGATACAGCGGCTGTGCTACTGCTGCTCTCTAGAAAAACACTCAAACAAGTAGAAGGACACAGCACAAAATGCCACTTGGCCAGTGCATGCTGATATCCCCACAGCACTCAGAAGTTCAAGGCCAACCTGAACTATACCTGAAGCCCACAGAGAAGGAAGGAAGGGAGTGGAGAAGGTGGGGTGTATTTTGTGAAATGAGAAAATTGGGTTAAAACTGTGAAACACAGTTTTGGTTTTCTCCTTTTTCCTCAAATTTTGTAAAGCCTTACCGTAGAGATCAGGTCCATGAGAAGTGAAGACGTTATACAAAACAATGTTGAGAGGTGCAATCACCAACTTTCCATAATAGTAGCTGTCAATGACCACCACAGGCGCCTAAAGCAGAAGAAGAAACAGGTGTGAGTTTCAAAATGCTAGTGGAAAAACTTGGGAACGAAATAAAACAAACTCCACACACTAGAAGCTGCTGAGAACACACGAGCAGAACAAGAAAGGAAACTCACCAGGAAAAGAATCAGGGCCACCAGGGACCAACGAAAGAAACTCTTCCACCTGTGTTTCATGGCCAGCGAGTCAAAGGCAATGGGCAAACTATTCAACAGAAACACAAAGTGAGGCGTTAAGAAAAGCACTAAACACTCAGGACAGAGCACACGAGCCTATGCTGAGATGAGAACAAAATGGCTCTCCCAGAAGCAGAGAAGAAAGGAAGCTGGTATGTGACAAGATGTCTTCCCAAAAACAAGCTAGTTTTCCCTAGGACCATCAGAAAGCTATGCTTGCCACAGATGGACAAGAAACACAAAGATTAACCTGCTGGACAAATCTGACACTGACCTGTATGATCTGGACATGTAAGATATATTGATGATAAATTAATGTAAGCTACCCTACACCTACCTCACAGATAAATACTGACCTCTCTCCTGAAATTAACTAGGATTTTATTACATATTTTTAACTTATAAATAATTTCTCATGTGTGGGGTGTCCGCAGGCACACATGTCATGGCAGGTTAGAGATAACTTTGAGGAGTCAATTCTATCCCTTCCACATTTATTTGGATCCCAGAGATCAAACTCTGATCTCCAGATGTGCACAGCAAGTGTCTTTACCTGCTGAGCCAACTCTCCTTCAGTTGCTCTCCACTTCATTCTCTGAGCCACAGATCCTGGTGCTCTTCAACTCACCTAGGCTAGCTGGCCAGTGCTCTAGAAATTCATCATCTCCCCTCAACACTGGGATTACAGAAGCACCACCACACCTGCCTTATAAGTGGGTCAAGGGGATTGAACTTGAGTCCTCCTTCTTGCATGCCATCATCCACCAAATCTCCAAGAACTCCTTTCACTTTATTAACCTGCTTTGTTTGCAGCTGTGCTAAAGTTTAATACGCTCTAGGCAAACATTCTACCACTGAGCTATATACTATAGGTACTTTTAAAATTGTGGAATACTATATTTAAAATAACCTCAATAACAACTAAAATATTTTTAAGCTACACATTTTAAATCATGTTTATAATGTGGATTTGTATGTTTAAGTGCTGGTGCCTGCAAAGTCAAGAAGAGGATGGCAGATCCAGTAGTTGTGAGCTACCAGCATGGGTGCTGGGAACCAAATTCAGATTCTCTGCAAGAGCAGCATGTGCTCTTAATCACAAACCATTTCACTCAGCAGTTAAGAGCACTGGTTGCTTTTCCAGAGGTCCTGAGTTCAATTCCCAGCAACCACATGGTGGCTCACAACCATCTTTATGGGAATTGATGCCCTCTTCTGTTATGCAGGTGTACATGCAAATAGAATACTCATAAACATAGATAGATAGATGTTAAAGAAACAAACAGGGGTGCTGGAGAGATAGTTCAGTGGTTAAGAGCACTGACTGCTCTTCCAGACCCGGGTTCAATTCCCACCACCCACATGGCAGCTCACAGCTGTCTCTAACTCCAAAATCTGACATCTTCACGGAGACATATATGCAGGCAAAACACAACTGTACATAAAATTATATATATGTATATATATATATTATTCATTTATTTATTTATTTATTTATTTTTTAAAGAAGTTAAGGCAGCACAAACCAGGAAAGAAGTAGTGGAAACAGAGCGCAGAAGAAAGTGGAGACACAAATAAACTCAGGAGCAAGAAAGGAGAAGGGGTATGGGAGAGACGCCTCAGCGATTAAAAGCATGGGCTGCTCTTCTAGAGGACCCACAGGGCAGCTCAGTCCAGAATCACTGCATACATGTGACACAAGACATACCCCTTGAACATTAAAAAATTTTAAAGAAAAAAGACAAAAGGAAACATTTCAATCCTAGGTGTCAAGGAGGATACACAAGACAGAATGGAGTGTGAAGAAAACAACAGCAAACTTTCAAGAAAGAGAAAGGAATTAGCAGCAGAGGGAAGGAGGGGGACAAAAGAGTTTAACACAGGAGACAGAACTGAAAAATGCTGTTTACATGTATGAAAATGTCACAACAAAATGAGACGTGTATAATTAATAGATGCTTGCTAGTAAAGCATTTTTAAAAGCAAGTATAATATTAAAGGCAAATTACCCCAAATCTTAGTGTCTATATTCTCATTTATAAAAACTAATTGTATTGTGTTTTCTTGTAGAGATATAAATTTTAGAAAATCTGTGGAAGGTTTGGTAATGCTAGCAATGCCTAACCTTCAGCAGGAGCTTAGCAGTCACCATTCTCCCTAGAATAACTCACATGAATGAACGATGAGAACAATATGCTTTTGTTCCTCAGTCTTTGTCGATCACACTGATCTCTAACTTTGGGTGCCACCTGGGCAGTCTGCATCCGATCCAACATTAGGATTGACCAAATGGCCAGTAACGTACAGGACAGGAATAACATTAGTTTCTTACCCAAGAGCTGCACTAAATGGCCACCCTAAGATAGCTCCGGCTGCTACTCCCAGCACAGCAATGGGTGTCTTGTCCATGTACCACCCAGTCATGGCGATCAACGTAGTATACATGCAGAAGCTGCTAGGAAGGAATGCTGCAAGAGTAAAGAAATGAAAGAAACAAGAGTCTGAGGTGAAATGGTGAGTTTTCAAAGTTCACCTGCACTGCAAAATGTCAGTAACTGTAAACCTACTTTGCAAAACACTATTAGAAATAAGCAGTAAGGCTGGAAATGTGGCCCAGCTGGCAGAGTGCTTGCCTAAGAGACACTAAGCCCCGGGCTCCCAAGAACCACAAATAAACTGGGCATGGTGGCGCACAGCTATAATCCTAGTCCACAGAATTACAAGCTAGAAGATCTGAAGTCAAAGGGTATCCTCAGCTGTACATGAGACCCTGTGTAGACATATACAAAGAAAGAGAGGGAGTGGAGGAAAACATAGGCAGTCAGAGTACATTCCTTTTCAAAAAAACAAATGCACTGATTTTTACCTTCTCACACCTCTGTTCAAGTACAAAAGGCCCTAAGTTACACAATACTATCCATGCCATTCCTTTTCTGGCCTGAACCTAAATTTAAAGCTTACACAAATCCAGTTTTCCCAGGAACCTCAGACTTATTTCCATGCAGAGAAAATGATTCAAAAGACTTGGAGTCTTTGCAGACGAGATGTTGGTTCTGATGTGCTCTAAGACATCCTGGTTCACACCAGTACCCTACACAGATTCTAGGAAGTGTTCTCGAGGCTCAGAGCTACAGTCGGCCTTAACAAAGCCCCTTAACTATTACATCTACCATAACTTTGTCATAGTATGCAATTGTCTGGACAAACTAAACATTTTGGAACAGCAGCAAAATACTAACAACTCTCAACAAAAATGTGGCTTCTGGGCTGGAGAGATGGCTCAGAGGTTAAGAGCACTGGCTGCTCTTTCAAAGGTTGTGAGTTCAATTCCCAGCAAACACATGGTGGCTCACAAGCATCTATAATGAGATCTGGTGCCCTCTTCTGACCTGCAGGTGTATATGCAGGCACAACACTGTATACATAATAAATCTTAAAAATAAATAAATAAAAATGTGGCTTCTTACCCTTCAGAAGGCCCATTCCTGGAACAGAAAAACCAATTGATTCTAACTAGAACTACAATGGACTAGGCCGTGAGATTTAAGACACTCATCCAGGGTCCACTTCAAAGACTCTACAGTAAAGCCTCTGAACTGATACTGTAATACTACAGATACTCACAGGAAGCTCCCCACACACATAATGTTTCTGGATTGGCAAAGTAAATAAAACATAAAACATGTCAGATGCAGCTTTCATCAATAGATGCTAAATAATATTGGTGTCAACTCTGGCTGGCTGCCAATGCAGAACACAAAAGAGCAGAAATCTCTGAGGGCTCTGCTAATCTTGATGAAGCAGACATGTTTACTACGGTGAATTTCAAAGCTGGCCTAGGGTGGAGCTTGGCGTCCCTGCAGAACAACATTCATTTTAATATATTCAATGAAGAAAACGGTAACCATGTAACTTTGTAGAAAGTACCTTTTTTATATTTGTTCTTGATTATAGAAGCGTAAACTAAAATTAGGAAATTATACTTCGCAAGATAATCTTTCTGAAGAATGGGGAACAACCTATCCTTTGCAGCAGGCTTCCTTAGCTCAGTCCACACAATGTGAGTGTTCACAGAAAGCACAGCTGGGAAGCTACCAGCCCTCCATGAGCTTTTTATTCTAAGTATCTAGAAGCTAACTATAAAAATAAATGCTTGCTAGGCATGGTAGCACATGCCTTTAAGTCCAGCACTCGGGAGCGCAGAGGCAGGTGGATCTCTGTGAGTTTGGGGCCAGCCTGGTCTACAAAGAGATCTCCCTGACAGCCAGGGCTGTTACACAGAGAAACCCCCTTTTGAATAACCAAAAATAGATAAGATAGATGCTCAAGAGATGCAACCTCTACAGAATACATCCCAAATAACAGGCAGAAAACAGAATCATCAAACAAAAATACCTTACTCCCCTAGTGGCCAAGAAAGGAAGTGAGCGATTAGTAAAAGGAGGGAACAGACAGTATCCCGTGAGACTACTACTACTCATCAGTCAGCACAGGTTAAGAAGACAATGCATATGATTCCCTGCACTCTGCCAAAGGTTTGGTTATAAGTCTTAATATCTGCTTTGATACACTGCTAGATAGAGTCTTTCAGAGGCCCTCTGTGTAGGCTCCTGTCCTGTTACTTGTTTTCTCCTACATCCAATGTCCATCCCATTTGTCTTTCTAAATGAGAAATGATCATCTTACCCCGAGTCCTCTTTCTTGTTTATCTTCTTTAGGTGTATAGATTTCAGTATGTTTATCCCATCTTATAGATCTATATGAGTGAGTATATACCATGTATGTCTTTCTGCTTTTGGGATACCTCACTCAGGATGATCGTTTCTAGGTCCCATCATTTGCCTGCAAATTTCGTGATTTCCTCATTTTTAATTGCTGAGTAGTATTCCATTGTGTAATGTACCACAATTTCTCTATCCATTCCTCAACTGAGGGACATCTGGGTTGTTTCCAGGTTCTGGCTATAATGAATAAAGCTGCTATAAACATGGTTGAGCAAATGTCCTTGTTGTGTACTTGAGCATCTTTTGGATATATGCCTAGGAGTGATATAGCTGGATCTTGAGGAAGTGCTATTCCTAATTGTCTGAGAAAGCGCCAGATTGATTTCCAAAGTGGTTGTACAAGTTTACATTACCACCAGCAGTGGAGGAGGGTTTTCCTTTCTCCACAACCTCTCCAGCATGTGATATCACTTGAGTTTTTCATCTTGGCCATTCTGATGGGTGTAAGGTGAAATCTCAGGGTCGTTTTGATTTGCATCTCCCTGATGGCTAAGGACGTTGAACATTTCTTTAAGTTTTTTTCTGCCATTCTACAATCCTCTACAGAGAGTTCTCTGTTTAGCTCCATACCCCATTTTTTAATTGGATTACTTGATTTGTTGCTTTTTAACTTCTTGAGTTCTTTATATATACTAGATATTAGCCCTCTGTCAGATGTAAGGGGGAGTTAGTAAGACCTGGAGAGGACAGGAGCTCCACAAGGACTAAATATATCAGGGCCCAGGGGTCTTTTATGAGACTGTTTCTCCAACCAAGGACCACGTATGGATATAACCTAGAACCCCTGCTTGGATATAGCCCATGGTAGCTCAGTATCCAAGTGGGTTCCCTAGTAAGGGGAACAGGACCATTTCTGACATGAACTCAATGGCTGGCTCTTTGACCTCTCCCTCCACCCCTGAGGGAGAAGCAGCCTTGCTAGGCCACAGAAGAGGACATTGCAGCCAGTCCTGATGAAACCTGATAAGCTAGGGTCAGATGGAAGGGGAGGAAGTCCTCCCCTATCAGTGGACTTGGAAAGGGGCAGGGAGGAGATGAGGGAGAGAGGGTGGGGTTGGGAGGGAATGAAGGAGGGGCTATGGCTGGAATACAAAGTAAATAACTTGTGATTAATATAAAAAAAATATTATTAAAAAAAAAAGACGACAATGCAGAGACGGGTATGGTGGTGCACACCTGTAATCCCAGCACTCGGGGAGAGCAAGGCAGGATGGTATCTGTGAATTCGAGGTCAGCCTGGTCCAGGACAGCCAACGATACACAGAGAAGCTGACTTGAAAAAAAAACAAAAAGATAATGCAGACCCTACACAGATGTAGCAGGTGTGCAGCATGGTCAATATATGGGCCCCTAACAACGGGAGTAGGGGCTATCTCTGGCTCTGTTGCCTGCCTCTGCATACCTTTCTCATAGGTGGGCTGCCTTGTCAGATCTCAGTGGGAGAGGATGCGCTTAATCCTACAGCAACTTGAGGTGCCAGGGTGGCTCAGTACTCTTTGGGGGCCTCCCTTTCTCTGAGAGAAGGTAGTTGGAAGGGAGGGTGCGTAAGGACGGGACTGCAAGAAGAGGAGGGAGGGGGCTTGAACCAGGCAGTAAAATGATTAAGTAAACAAAAATTTTTAAATATTTAAAAAAAGAAGAATGCACACAACAGTGACCTGCAAGTATTCATGTTACAAGAATATAACCTCATCAGACAAGTGCTTTTTTTCTTTCATCAATACAGCTGTACAGGCAGAAAAACCTGTTACCCCTCACCTCCCCCTTATTTACCTGCTACCTCTCACCTGCCCCTTTACTAACCTGCTACCCCTCATTTGCCCCTTACTTACCAGCTGATGAACAAAACATGCCAGTGCTGAGCACCAAGAAGGCCAGCATCATCCGGCTCACATGCAGCCCAAATTTCTTGCACACAGCCCTGGAAGAAAGATAAAGGCCATTAATACTGTGGATGGTAAGAGACAGACATTGCAAAGCAAATAAAAAATGGAAGCCTATATGAGAATTAACATTGAAGAGCTAACGTCAAATATAGAACTGTCCAGGAATTTTATGTGTCCAGGACTCTTAAGCCTGACACAGAAAAGCTCCTTACTTAAAAGGAAATGTGCTTCCAATGTGTTAGGAATTTCATGTGCATGAGAAACGCCTTTCTCTTGGCACAGAAGAAAAGCTTCCTCTTTAAGAAAAGCTCCGTATTTTAAAAATATCTACTATCAGTAGGGAAATAGCATGATATAGTGAGAAATAACAGACCTCGGGCCCAGGCAGGTTCAAATTCTGGCTCTGCCATTGACCAGCAGTGGCTAGTTACACAGTCTGCAAGAGTCCACATCTGTAAGATGAAGACAGTACCCACACCTACACCAAGCTCCTGGGAGGGTTACTGCCAGTGGGTACTTAGGAAAGTGCCTAGCACAAAGTTGCTCAGTAAGTCGTTGTTCTCAACACAGATGATATAAAAGCAGACAGGGATGGCAGGACAATGGTGGCACACACCTTTAATACCAGCGCTCGGGAGGCAGAGGCAAGTGAATCTCTGTGAGTTCGAGGTCAGCCTGTCTAAAGAACGAGTTCCGGGGCAGCCAGGGCTACACAGAGAAACCCTGGCTCAAAAAATGAAAACAAAACAAAACCAGAGAGGACTAAAACAAGGGGTTAAAGGTTTACTCAGTGATGGGCAAGGAGAAATGACAAAGAGGAGGAACAGATTAATAAAAACTAAAAATGTGTGAAAATTCCATGGAAGCCTACTACTTTACAAACTAATCAAAATATGTCTTTTTTTTTTTAAATAAGGTTTCAACAAAACAATGCTATTCCCAAAAAATATGGATTATTAAATGAAAATACCAACACCAAGACACTTCCCTGTGAGTTTTGTTTTTACTGGTGGATGCTGGGAATTGAACCCAGGTCCTCTCAAAGAGCACCAAGTGCTGTTAACTGTAGAGCCATCTCTCCAACCCTAAGTCTGAGTATCTTCTAATATGTTAAGGCACTATGAAACTTAAATGTTTCTAGGTGCTACATTTTTAAAAAGGCAGATATTTCATTGCTAGGAAACATAAATGCATAATGCATTCATTAGCAGTCACTCAACTGAAAACTCCTTGGTGTGCGGCGATGCACAGAGTGCAGATGAGAGCACAGCCCCACACTGGGAACAGCGCCCCATCAGCTCAGCTCTAGGGAAGAAGCGGACCAATCCTCCACTTAGAACCAACACTAGGGGTTCACTAAATCCTACTAGGGCTAGTGAGGCGTGTACCGACAACTGAAATCAGCGTGCACCACGGGGAACAGAAGCTCAGACTCCTCCTCAATCACTTTTCAGATGAGAAGCTGCTCTGCAGTCATAACACCAGGAGGTAGAAGAAAAGCCGCCTGAGCTCTCAGTCTGCGCTGGGGGTGGGTGGGTGGGGCCTTGTACTTTTGGATGCAGTTACTTACTTATAAAAGTAAAGTTCACAAATACAGCTCACAAAAGCCAGGAGACATCTCAAAAAGTAGAATACAAGAATCTGAAAGAAGCCCAGAGTAAAAAACAGGTCAGCAACAGGAGCTGCAAGCTTGTGAGGATGAAAACTCTCATTTGTTGTCCGTAAACTGTACCAGCACAATCCTCCTGAGAACCACACAAATTTTCAAATCCCCAGACTCAATGTACCTACTTCTTTTACTCTAAGAGGGGTGGGAGCCTCCATTCATAAAAACACCTATTGCAGCCCATTAATTCAGTAAAACTACAGGTCTCCAATTATAAGTATGCAACTAACCATGCTCTACTGTAGAGAGTACTGAACAAACATGAACACTCAGGGTTGCAAAGATGGGAACACTGTGACACGCTGCTCATCTGTTGCTCACTCAACAAGTCCTCTCCTTCCCCCTCCCTCTCCCCTTCGACGTCAGGGTCTCACACGATACCTCAGGCTATCCTGAACTCACTGTGGATCCCAGGATGACCTCACACCTATAGTAACCCTCTTGTCTCAGCCTTCTAAGTGCTGGGATTGCACATGTAAGCCACCTCACCTGGCTAGACAGTACTTGTTAAACAGCCATAAAATGTAAATACCGACAGTTTCTAAAACACATCCGCATTACAGCTGTGGAACCTATCGCTTGCAGCAGGCTGCCTTGGCTCAGTCCACACCGTGTGAATTCAGACATGGTACCCATGTGAAAGCCAGGCTGACCATGTGTTTCTGCACCCCAGCATCAGGAGGCAAACAGGCAGCTCCTGGGAACACACTAACCATCTCCTAGGTAAAATGGAGGGTTTCAGGTTGAATGAGAGACCCTGTGTTGAGAGAATAAGGTGGATGGCAACAGAAGATAGCCAGTATCTCCTCTGGCATGCGCACTGTGCCCAGACACATGTGCTCACACAGACCTGTATGTGTGTGTGTGTGTGTGTGTGCGTGCGCCATATGCACACATCCCTCTCCCCAAATTTGGCAAAAGGCATAAGCCTAAGTATTCAAGTAACTTAGTGAACCTCAAACAAAACTAAAAAAAAAAAAAAATTCACACCAAAAACATGCTATCAAATATTTTAACCCTAAGCAGGGTCAGGGTCCAACTAACTCCTGAGCACTCTTATTATGCTACCCTACCCCACCATGCCTTGTACTTTTCTCCCACTCTTCCCCCAAGAACTGTCACTTCCATGAAAGCAGACTCAACTTCGTCACTGTTCCATCACTTAACATAATCTATACTAAGTCAAAGCTGCTCTTTTAGTATGTGTGGAATGATGAAGACACAAATGATCCTGTCGGAGGAGATGGAAATCAAGCTGGCTCAGCAGGTTAAAAGGGCTTGCCTGACAACCTGAGCTTGATCCAAGGCATCTACAGCAGGAGGAGAGAACTGTATCCAAAAGACTGTCCTCTGCCTCTGCATGGCTCGCACACCTACATCCACAATTTAGAAGGGAAAAAAAAACAAAAAACAAAAAACAACCTTTGGGCCTGATGGCCTACAGACACAGTAACTTGGGAAATGAGGGGAAAAGCATCTGAGTCCAAAAGTTCCAGAATAGTCTACAAAGCGTGGCAAGACTCCATCTCAAAGAAGAAAAACGAATAAAGAAATCCACCTCTTAACCATCAACAGATTTTTGTTCTCTTTTCAAAACTGCTCCCACACTTACCTCCTGATAGATGTGACTGCTATCAGGTTACCTATTGATTGATGTGATTGCTATCAGATTATCTATTGATGAATGTGATTGCTATCTGGTTGTCTATTGATGGATGTGATTGCTATCAGGTTATCTCTTGATTGGTGTAATTGCTATCAGATTACCTCTTGATGAATGTGACTGTTATCAGGTAAAGCTGCCCTTACCTTATTAGTTTGCAGAATCCGTGCATGAAATGCAGCTGGCCAGGCATGCAGCAGCAGGTAAGCATACGAGCGGATGGCATACAGTGGGGAATATTCCCACGTCTGAAACCCCTTCCCATAGATGAGGTAGTGTGTCTGAAAGCAGAGACAGATGCGTTCAGGGTTATACCAGCAAAGCCCCTCTTGAGAGGATACAGGTGAAGAGCCTGTGTTGAAACTGTTAGAGTCAAAATGTTGAGAATTACCATCTGTAACTAATGAATAAGAAAAGAAACAAATGGCCTCATATTTTTTAAATTAAGAAGATAAGGTTTTATTATATTTGTTAAAATAATGATTAACAAAAACAAAAAAACTGAAAATCTTTATTTTTCCTTAAATTACACACACTAAGATTTTTTTCTGTTTTTGATACAAAATGTAACTGGATAATTTACTTCCTAACTTTCTGTAATAGGAAGTCAGCAAAAAAATACATAAACGTATAAATCAAGAAACAACACTCCAAGTGTGCTGTCAGTAATGCTGTTGTCTTAGCTAAGGCTTCTCCTGCTGTGCTAAAACACCACTACCCAAAGCAAGTTGTGGAGTAAAGGGTTCAGTTCTTCTTTATTATTCTTATATTTTCCATTATTTAAAACAATTTCAAATTCAAATATATTTTGATCATATTCTTCCCCACCCCTAAATCCCTCCAGATTCTCTCCCTGCACCCAACTTTTAAATTCTTTCTTAAAAAAGAAACAAAGACCCAGTACAACAACAAAACAGGGAAACAAAAATAAAACTACATCCAAAAAGGCACACAGGCGTGCACATACACACACACACACACACACACACACACACAAACTGTTGGAGTCCAATTATATGTTGGTCAACTACTCCTGACATGAGGCCTGCCCTGGAGTGGCTGATAGGTGCAGTGTCACACTAGTGGAGAAAACTGATTTTCTCTCTCTCTGCAGGTATAAATGACAGTTCAGTTGTTATCCTTTACCCTAGTACCTAGGTTTTCATTTTTTTTTAATTCAACAAAACAGAATATAATAAGAAAAAAACAAAACTACCACAACAAAGTTGGACAAGAAAAGCCAACAAAAGGAAACTCACAGTTCCATATGCCAGTTCATTATCAAAAGCAGTGAAGGCAGGAACTTAAGTAGGGCAGGAACCTGGAGGCAGGAGCTGATGCAGAGGCCACGGTGGGGTGCTGCTTACTGGCTTGCTCCCCATGGCTCATTCAACCTGCTTTCTTATAGAACTCAGGACTACCAGCCCAGGGATGGCACCACCCACAATGGGCTGGACCCTCCCCACCATCAATCACTAATTAAGAATGCCATACAGGTTTGCCCTACAGTTCGGTCTTATGGAGGCATTTTCTCAGTTGAGGCTTCCTCCTTTTCTAATGACTACTGCTGTGTCAAAACGACATAAAACTAGCTATCACAACTATTTTGGCAAACATCAGAACTTAAAAAGTTGGAAGAATGGGGACTGGAAAGATCACTCAGCAGTTAAGAGCAATCACTGCTCTTCCTGAGGACTTGGGTTCAATCACAGTACCCACATAGCAGCTCACAACTGTCGGTAGCTCCAGTTCCAGGGATCCATAACCCTCACACAGACATACAAGCAGGCAAACCACTAATGCACATAAAATAAAAATAAATAAATCATTAAGACAAACACTCTTGTAGCTTCCCTCTAGGAAGTGGTTTTTGGACATTAGAAAAATGCATAATTGTATTTCCCTCAAGTTCTGGAATATTTGTTAACTTTAAAACCTACCTACATCCACAAGTATTACTTAGATTTTTCAAAACCATTTAAAATATAATTATAAGTCTCAAGGTTGAGTATGACAGTTAAAGGTTATAGACTTCAATAGCAATAAATCAACAGTTTGGGCTTTAAGACCTATTTTATTTATGTGTGGATATCTACATGAGTACATGCATACACGTGTGCCTATGGAGACCATAAGAGGGCATGTTTTTTTGTTTGTTTGTTTGTTTTGTTTTGAGACATGGCATCACTATGTAGCCCTGGCTGTCCTGGAACTCAGTATCTAGACCAGGCTGGCCTTGAACTCATAAGAGATCTGACTGCCTCTACCTCCAGAGTGCTGTGATTAATGGTGTGTGTCACCACACTGGGCTGTCATGTTTTGAGGACGTGCTGGAGTCACCTACATTTGAGCTGCTGGAATTTGAACTATAATCCTCATGGTTTATATCCAGCAAGTTCTCTTACCCACTGAGCCATCTCTCCAAGCACCAAATCAACAGTTTTCAGGACACAAAAGTGAAAATAGTTTAGTTTAGTATTTTTCACACTTATATTTTATGTTTTTGTTACTTAGTCCTAAGTACCAGATCAGGATCAAAGGTCAAATCCCAGAACTAGGGGCTAGCGATGTAGCCCCGTGGTAAAGCATTTGCCTCCATGCCCAAAACCATAGGTTAGATCACTAGGATAGCAGAAACTAAAAACCAGTTAATTAGACCACCTACTGGTTCCCAGTAGTTGAAGGTTTCATCACAGTCCGAGATGTTGCTCAGAAGGGCAGCGCACAACCTTGCCGAGAGCAGACACTTGAAAGCAGTGGATCCTTCAGGGGCCCAGACTTGCCCTGCTTTATTTCCAGACCTGCCCAAGAGGAAAAGCAAAACCATTAATGCATCAGGAAGGTCCTCCTAGAGAAGATTAAAACCAGACAGAAAAGATAGAAATGGCAAAAGCCACAATAAAGCCATTCACCTAAAAGAACGGTTTGTCATGTTTGAGTAGGATAAGGAATTGGGTTTTCAATCACTCGTTACACTTCCCGCTTCCAAGGTACACACCTTGGCCTGTTTAACCTCGAGCTACCTAATGCTCTCACTCTCCATTTCTTCCTTAAGGTCTTTTTTTTTTTTTTTTTTTTTTTTTTTTGGGGGGGGGGGGACGTTTATCAATTCCGTCCTCCTTCAAATGAATGGAGGCCTAACACAAAGGGCAGGTGCCGACCTCCTCTGATCCCATATGCTGGCAATCCCTTTAATGCAGACCTACATGCTCCAACCTTGGAGCTGACGGCTTCGAGGGCTGAAGACGCAGGAAGAGGGAGAAAACAGTAAGCGGCGGCTTCTGGGAGAATAAAACCGCCCAGACACTCGGTGTTAAAGGTGCACTCCCCTGCTAACAGCTCTAACAGAGGCTCGGCTAACTCTACCAGCGCGAAGCCTGCTCACGCGGGCCTGAACCTGAAGCAGGGCAGACCCTAGCTCCAAGGATACAGGGAGCTGAGGAGGGACGAGGACCGCTGCGAACTCGGACGCTCCCAACAGGGGCAGGAGTAAGGGCGCCGGCTCGCTGCGGAGACGTCCGGCGGAGGGCAGCGCCCCTGCGGGGAGCAGAGGCCGCGGGGACCACCCGACCCTCCCGCCGGCCACGCCCTCCTGCCGCACACGCACTCTGGCCGCGGCTGCGCGCCTGCCTCCCGGCTGCCCAGCAGCTCCCGCAGCTTCTCCGCGGCCGGGCCCGCGTCCCCGCCGCCGCCGCCACCGCCGCCGCCGCCCTTGAGGCGCTGCCGGGCCCTTCGGCTCGCCATGCCCAGCGTCGAGGAAAGGGTAGAACTCCGCACGCTACGATATCCGCGAGAGCGCAGACATTGCTTAGCTGGGAAACGGTGTCCGCCGAGGGACAAATTGCCGTGACATGCGCAGCAAGGACTGAAATACGGAGTCACTAGACCAATTGGGGCGAAGGCCGGGAGCAGCAGCCTTGGCCAGCCCCTCCCACTTATAAGGCTGGGTAGCTCTCCCTTCCTTTAGCTAGCTTCCTCCACTTCTCAGCACGCCGCACTTGCAGCCCCGCAAAGTGTAGCGTGTGGAGCTATTCCATACAGCTGCCTACCCCAAAAGCGGTCTCTAAACGGTACTTTAACATTTCACACCTTGCCTTGACGTGTTAAGAGGCATAGACAGCCAAAAGTTCCTGAGACAAACCAGTAAAGCCAGAATACAGACTGAAAGTAAAAGCCTAAGGAAAGGCTATGCACAACGCCATCGCAGCTATAGGCGGTTTACGTACGTGCTTTTTTATTCTCTCAGACACCTTGCTTTTACTTGGTAAGGAAGCCAAGGTCCAAAGTTGCCTGACTAATAAATGGAGCTATACTCCAAATGAGGACCGGGTACAAATATGTACTATTCTTCCTACATTTGAAAAAACAAAACAAAAAAAAAAAAACAAACCGTTGTTGGGAGTTTTGTTTGTTTTTTTAAAGGGGGCGAGGGGTCCAGACTTGGTTTCAGCGGCATTTTACAAAGCCACTTTACAAAGAGAACTCTAGAACTCTAATCCTAACAGTGCTGTCTGTGGAAATCCATGCAGGTTTATAGAGGGAACGCTGAGCTTGACAGTTAAAAAGGTTAAATGGAGTGATCATATCGAGCGGTTCCGTAAATAGTCGTTAGTTCTTGAGCCCAAACATCCAGATTCATATTTATCACTTCCTTTGATGAAAACTAGGGAAAGAGAAGTAAAGATTCGACTAGAGTAGAGCTTTGGTTAGACAGACCCAAATGTCGATCCTAGCTCTGACACTTGTGGGTTATATGACTTCAATAGCCAATGATGAAATAGCAGTACCGTGATGATAATCCAGATATGTAATACATGCAGCAAAACGCTTGCAAATTCACTGAGACCATAAAGAGGAACCAACAATGTGAGAAATATATTTATAAATACATGTGGTGAGACATACAGGTTCACAGCCTCTTCAAAAAGAGAGCAGCTCAAGTACAAAATGCTTGGTTTGTTGTTTCAGTCATTATTCAGGATCAAAAAGACAACAATACAGTCACCCGCCCCCAGTCTATGGAGGCATTTTTGTTTAATTTTTGTTTTGTTTTCGGACAGGGCCTCACTATGTAGCCTTAGCTGGCCTCAATCAGACCTGCCTGCCTCTGCCTCCTGAGCACTGGGATCAAAGGACGTCATCACCACCATGGAGCCTGGCCAGTCTGTGTGTATGTTCACAGGCACTTTAGGGTCCATCAGCACTGTTTTGGTCACAGTGAAAAAAAAAAATCTTTCACACACACACAAAACAAAACACAAAAACCCAAGAGTCCAGAAAGGAACAACAGTTGAGAGTTGTTCTTTTTCACCCACCTATAACATACACTGTACAAAGGTCATCATTGACCTATCGAAGTAAAACATGTAGCTGTCTTTGAATCTCTTCTCTGAACCGGGACTGCATTGCCGCTGCCAGCTTCGGGCTGAGCGCCTTATCACAAGTCTGATAGATCAATCTATAGCAGAGACTGACCTGTTCAGTCTCTGGACGTTGAAACCGACCAAGGAACTGTACAGAAATAATAGTGTCCTGGGACACTGCTCGGGCTATGGTGTGAAACTCCAGTTCATCAAATCCTTTCTTTTCATCTAACCAAAAACTAATGTCATGCACATAGCGTGGAGGATACAGAGAATAGCTTTTAAAACGTTCTATTTTCCCAGGGGCAAATCTCTTCAGGAAACGGCCATCAAAAGTCCACAATATTCTCCAATCAGAAATATCATAGGCAAGCATAGCTAGTAAGTCCAAGTTTATGGACACAAACACAAAACACTGATGTTCCTGTGTAACAGCTGCAGATGTGACGACAGACCCAATAATCAGATTCTCAGTACAATCTGGGCCAAAACTGAGGGACTTCACATGAATTATATAATCCTTCCCATTTGGCTGAAGGACAAATTCCACTGAGGTGCTCACAATGGAGCCCTCCAGCAATGTCTCAGTCAGAAGGTTACCCAGAATGCCCTTCAGGTGATCCAGCAGTGATGAAAGGCAACTCTCCTCCATATTTTTATTAAGTCCAAGGAGAAATAAAGTCTCGTGAAATGCTGGCATCATAAAAGGTGAAATGTGGCACTTCCGGAAGACAGGTCCACTGAGGATGTGCAAAGCTCCTGGAAGGAAGTCAGGTGAATGGAGGACAGCTTCACCATGGACTAGAAGGGAAGACCTAAGGCACAGTGTGGCCTCTTCACAGACTCCTTCATGAGCTCCTCTGCAGCCGTCTCCTGCAGGTCTCTTGGTAAAGGTACGTTCTGAAACTGACACAAGAACTTCTTCCATTTCCTGTATAACTTCACCAGACAGGGCCTCAGAATGTGGGTTATCTTCATGAAGACTAATCCAAAAGGCAGACAGAAGATCACAGGTCCCTGGAAGGAGGACACTGGCACTTCCCCGTGGTAACAGAGGAAACAAACATTTCAGCCTTTTTAAGGGAAAAGTTTTGCCCAATTCAGCAATGAGTTTCTCATTGATGGTTCTGACAGGATGACAGGAAGGTGCTTCAAGGAACCGCCTGTTTAAACATATAAAATAACTTCTCACCGACAATAATAATTACAACTACAAGAATTAAAGTCGTTTGTTCTTATGTAGAAAACAAGTACCCTTAAAATGATACTGAAAATAAATCATTTGTCATATGGAGAAACAGCATGTACATTTTTTGGTTCGTTTAGGGAGTTGTTTTTTGTTTGGGGGTATTTTTGTTTATTTTGTTGTTGTGTTTTGGTTGTTTTTTTTTTTTTTTGTTTTGTTTTGTTTTTGCTATGATGGGAGCAAATTCTGGGCCTCGTGCACAACAAACAGATTACACTGACCTGCACTCCCACTCCCTGGAGAATTAGCATACAGTGCAGAACTCTGCTGACACCCCTAGAGTCTGACAGCCTGACAGGTGCCCACAGCACCAGCATCATTAACAATTCATCGTGTACCCACTCAAAATGCAGTGACCATTAAGGCAATTCATGGTTCAACTAGGAAGAGATTGCCATCAAAATAAAATTATACCTGTGGGGCTGCCTCAGAGGTTAAGAGCACTGGCCACTTTTCCAGAGGACCTGAGTTCAATTCCCAGCACCTACATAGCAGTTCACAACTGTCTGTAACTCCAGTTCCGACGGATCTAACACTCTTGCACAGACATGCAGGCAGAACATCAACACATGAGATTACCTATTCAACTTTCCTGCAAGTGCTTCTGGTTCAGCAAAGGAAAACCACTGGTCTTCCAGTCTGACTCTGAATGTTCTAGGCTGAGAGCCTTCGAAGGGTAAGCTCTTGGTGAAGATATGGTTCAAAGCACCTTCTACATGAAAGGGCTTATCCTGACTCCTGCCAAAATAAATGAACAAATAACTTCCTTAAGCTAAATGTGACATATTTACATTTAATTTAGTTAAAATAAAATATACATTGTATGTATATATATATATATATATATATACATATTCATATAAATCGATATATGAAGGCTTTCATTAGTAAACAAAGCAGTATTTTTGAAACTAACTCAGGAAATTGGAAAGGAAAAAGCCTGGCTTTAATCTTTTAATACTTCATGCAAAAGATAAAGGGGAGAAGGTCAGGCCTACGGCATTACTTACCTATAGCCGGTGCACTTGTACCCTGGCACAGCCTCACAGCTGAAGGGACGCACGTCGCTTAAAATGAACCCTCCCAGGGCTGCCATGGCAACTACTTGCCAACTGTTGTGCCACTCTCTCTGGGGCTTATCAGCAGGCGTTCCACCTTGTCCTCTACACAATGCCACATGAACTTCTCCGTCCTTTCCAAGAACATTGGTACAGCTTATGGAGAACAAACACCGGAAATTTATCAGAAACAGAAATTATGAAAAGAATCCGCAATATGCACATGGTTCAGCTCTGAAATAACTAAAAATCTGACTTGCAAGTAGTCTATTAAACCTAGGCAAATAAAAGTCCTAAGTGTCCCAACAAAAATATTGGTCACCAGCTTTGCATCTGTATTGTCTTCCTATATGTCATAGAAAGGCCAGTGTCCCTAAAGTTCCTCCATGTAACTCACTATTTGCACTGTTTCTCCCCATCAGGAAATGTCTTCCTACCTTCTGCCTACTCTGTAGTTCAGGGCTGGGTTTCGCACTGTATCACCACGCACACATGTCTATACTTCAATTACCTAACTTTAAAAACTGCCTTCGCTAAAGGTTTCTCTACACCTAGAGCCCACACGCTATCAGTTTCGTATAATGGTGTAAAGCACTATTTTAAATTCATAATCATTTTAAGAAGCAGCTACTACTAGTGGCCCCAGTTTATAGATGCAAGAAAAAAAAAGCAGGTAAGGAGAAAACTTGCTACAGTTTTTACTAGTAAATGGTGAGCCAGGATTTGAATCCAGACCATGAGGCTCTTAAATCCACGCTCTTAGTCATCAGGCTATAACTGGTTCTTACTGTTTTACAACTTAAGAACATGTTAGGGGTGGGTTGGAGAGAAGATTTGGCAGTTTAGGAGCACTGGCTGTTCGGAGGCTCAGTTCCCAGCACCCATATAATGTAGACACACATCAGCAACTCTAGTCCCAGGGATCCAACGCCCTCTAGTGGCCTCTCGGGGCACTAGGCACACACGATGCACAGATATGCATGCCGACAAAACATCCATATATATATTACATATATATATTACATATATTTTTTTAAGTTTTGTTTTAACAAACAATTTGGGAGCATCGGGGTGGATCAGTTACCAAGCAGGACAGCCGAAGTTCTATCCCGCGCCATCCTGTCGTCCACACCCATACATTAAACACAGGCACGCTAGCTAAAATTTTAAAAATAACCTTGTCTTTTACCTCCTAAGGCCTGTTTGTGCTTATATAACATCTAGGGTTATGTATCCCACTTTAAGACATGATTGTGGTTTCTTCTGGGTTTTATCTTCTTTCCACGTGTACCCTAGCAACTTATTTCTCCAACTACAAAGTTTGTGTGCGGTAAGTTGGTTACGGACACCTGGAAACATTTCGCATGAGAGGACTCGTCTTTCCTCACCTCTGGAAAAACTTGGCAAGCAGTGCCCTGTTCTTAGCTACGCCGGCTTTTCGTCCACAATGCGGAAAGTTAAAATGAATTCGATCAAAGTCCCTGTGGCCTTGCAAAGCCTGTGCCAGCTGGGTGCAATCCACAGCAAAACGCACTTCGACACCTGGCAAAGTTTAAAGACAACTCTTAGGATCTGTAACCCGGACAAGCAACACCTCTGCAACACGCGCCCACCAGCCGGGCTCTGGGCACGCGGCACGTCCAGGTGAGCGCCCCCGGGAGGCGCGCTGGACGCCCCCCGCGAGCCACACCCCCCACGCTCGAGGCGGGGCCTCGCGGAGGGGCGGGACCCGCTACCTCGCTCGCGCAGGCGCCGTAGGTTCTCCAAGGCCACGGGATCCCCTTGCAGATCAGCCCGGTGCTGGAGGCAGGTCGCGGTTACCGTGACGCCAGGCTCCAGGGTGTCGATCAGGGAAGCGGCGAAGGAGAAATTTCCCTCCCCGACCAACAGGAGGCGCCGAGGAACCATAGTCTCCCTCGGGCCCCTGCCGGCGCTCTCTGCGGCGCACCTTTCTTGCGTCACTTCCTTTGCCTGGGTCGTCTCTCCTCACCCTCCCCTTCTTCACCCGGCGCTGATTTATGAGGTTATCAACTCGTGAGGGTTCTGGATGAACAATTAAGAGCTATTGCTAGGGAGCTACGAGCTTGTCAGTTGAATACAGCTATCGCCCTTATCCCCTCATTCGAGCGCCTCTGAAGGCTCGTTTGCTTTTCAATACAAGGACGGTCCTCCGAGTCTTCGCCACGCCTCCTTGAGGTCACAAAACAGTCACTGAGGGGTGGGACTGGTCCTGCGTATCCCAGAGGCGCAGGGCCCTGTTAGCTGCATTGTCTGCGGAAATGGGTTCCTCCTGTTTTCTCAGCTGCTGCTCATCCTTTCGCCAGGTGCTCATAGATCCTATTTTATGAAATAACACTGAATGCCTGTTCTCTTCCGAGGCACCGTGAGAGCAGTTAGGTGTTTTGGATGGACTAGAGGTGGCCTGCCTGCTGTCTGATGACGAATGCACGCAGCTAAAGAGGCACCTCTAGTATAACGGGGTGTGTACCCACCGTGAGAAAAGGAACTGAGGACACTGAATAAAGCACACACAAAGGAGGAAGGGAGGTGTTGATTCCCTGAAGCAAGCCTGAGGTGGAAGCAAATTGAGAAGGGGGTTCATTTTATTTAGGTAAAAAGAATTAAAGGGACAGAAGGAACAGTGTTTATACAAACAGAAAACAGTAGTTACGTTTGACTGGGCTAAACACAGTTGGCAGGAGAGTGACCAGCAGGTGACACTGAAGAATTAAGGGGGGAGGGGCATATGGAGTGTTGTAACCATTTAATAGCCTAAACTTTATTCTGAGAATATAGAAAACCACTAAAAATCCAAGAGGGCAGCCAGCAGGGGGCTGATGCAGTAGTTTGAAAGGGTCTCAAAATGTGAAATGAAAACTTGATTAACATCCAGGCTGATGAAGTTAGTATATTGATTTGGGAAGAGCCAGCCCAAACACCCACCCTGGGCTGACCTAGTTAAAGAATACTCTAAGGACCATAAAAAATTATGTAAGAATGCTGAACAATTTGCAAAGAAATGCAGGGAAAAGCGACCTGTAGATTAAAATCTGGCATGTGTGGCCCCAGCAAGTTATGGCAGAGACCCCAATCAGTACATTCATATATCCCAAAAAGCAGAGTGATTTGGGGAACTGACATGTGCTGCCATCTATTGTTTGTGGCCGTTACCAACTTTCTACAGTTTTTGTTTTTGTTTTTGTTTTTGTTTTTGTTTTTTTTTAAATCAAAAGTGCTCTAGGTAACCTGTAAAGTAGGACTTAAAAATCCAGATGTTGACAGGACAGGAACCTACCACAGAGGGCCTCTGAAAGACTCTACCCTGCAGGGTATCAAAGCAGATGCTGAGACTCATAGCCAAACTTTGGGCAGAGTGCAGGGAATCTTATGAAAGAAGTAGGAAATAGTAAGACCTGCAGAGGACAGGAGCTCCACAAGGAGATCAACAGAACCAAAATATCTGGGCACAAGAGTCTTTTCTGAGACTGATACTCCAACCAAGGACCATGCATGGAGATAACCTAGAATCCCTGCACAGATGTAGCTCATGGCAGTTCAGTGTCCAAGTGGGTTCCATAGTAATGAGAACTGAAACTGTCACTGGCATGAACTGATTAGCCTACTTTTTGATCACCTCTCTCTTGGGGGTGGGGTGCAGTCTTATCAGGCCACAGAGGAAGACTATGCAGCCAGTCCTCATGAGACCTGATAGACTAGAATCAGAAGGAAGGGGAGGAAGACCTCCCCTATCAGTGGACTGGGAGAGGGGCATGGGTGGAGAACTGGGAGGGAAGGTGGGGTTGGGAGGGGAGGAGGGAGGGAGCTACAGGTGGGATACAAAGTGAATAATTAATAAAAATAATAATTTTTAAAAAGGAAAAAAGAAGAAATCCAGATGTTGTAACAACAATAACAAAAGCCACTGAGAGTCTACTCTCCTATGGAGAAAGGATTAGACACGAACGAGGCTGATGACAAGGAAACCTGATAAAAGGCTACTTGCAGTAAAGGGTACAAAGGAGATGGTGGTCTGAATTAGAAATTGACAGTGATACTGAAAAATAGTGGGCTGATTTAGAAATCAGCAAGACTAAGTGACTGACTGATCAAATACACAAAGAAAAGCCCTAGTTTTCTGCCAGACGACTGAGTGGATGTCTGTCCTAGCTAGGACCAGCATCACCTCTAAACCACTAGGCCTCTTGGACTTTCTGGGTCCAGATACCCAAGTCATCATGCACTTTGGTGACATCAGCATATACATGCACATACCTTCACAAAGGTAGGTGATGTGAGGGAAGTGTTGGTCTTGTCTGCTTGTGAAAAGGCAGTTGGGTTGTGTCTCCCAAACTGTGATCATGTGTCCATGGTGATCTATATTCCTCTGTTGGAGAACTGGAAAAACCAGGTTGGGAGACATCTTTAAGGAACATGGAACAGCCATATAGTGAGCACTGTTTTTGGGTGAAATTTCCAGCCAAATCATGGTGTTCACCATCAACTTACTCGACAGCACAGGTACCGTCTTGTTCCTAAGTCCGAAGACCAGGTTTATTTTGTAACCAAAAAGTTGGGCTTTTGATTGCTTGCCAAAAATTTAAAATAGAGATATTTACCATCTGGTATGCACAGAGAACTTGATTGGGAGGGTAACTATTGATTGGGAGGATATATTCAACAATGAACAAAACATGGATCCTGACCTTAATAGGAATAGTATTCAGTAGATAATATATTGCATGCCCTTGTACCTATGACAGAGGCAAAAGAGGAGTTAACTTATTTAAGCTGGCCTAGAAAAGGAAGTTATCATTAATCATTTATTTTGTTATCTGTTGTTCTACTTTACATCTCTCATTCTTTCTGTAGCAATACCCTTAGACTCTCAACTCTTACATCCTGAAATCACCAAAACATTTAGTTAATTGCTCAGATGGTGTTGGAGATGCTGAAATGTTTTCTGTAATTTCAAGGAATATGGGACAGTGGCATCTGTATAGCCAGTCACCCATTACTAGTGACTGACAGAATAGACCAGCGGGTACATGCATCTGAAGGGGAAGAATCAGGCCCATACAAATGATATTCAGACAGAAGCATAGAGTGTTAATAAGGAGTGCTTGTGTTAACACTTTGACCTTTTGACTCTCTGACTGTTTAGTCAGCTTTTGTGCTCTTTGTTTTTCCTGAGAACAGAACCTTATCTATTTCCTGAAAAACCCACACTATGGCAGCCTTCTTCATGCTGACGGCCATGGTGAAGTATGGACAGACTGGAACAAATCGTCCAAGTTCTCTCAGTATGGGTGGAGATGCAACACCAATGAGAACTCATACTCCACCCGCACCCTGATGGGCAACTGGAACCAGGAAAGATACGACCTGAAGAACATCGTGACGCCCAAGCCCTTGCCTTCCCAGGTAATATAGCATTCTCTTCTGTTAGGAAAAAATGCCAGTGGCCGTGTGAGAGGTTTATGTTTAGAATTATGAGAGATCATTCTTCAGCTGGACCACGTAGACCACCTTGGTGTCAGGCTGAATTTTACCTGTATGTTATCAACTGATGAATAGATCTCTTTTTCTCTTCCTTCCATTGGATCTTACCTGTTGATCTACAGAGTCTTCTGACTCAGGATAGCTTCTTCTCTGGGCTTATTTACCTCAGCCTTGCCCTTCAGTCTCCTAAACAAACATACAGTAGATAAGAAAGCATGATAGGCTAATCACACACAAACCTCTAATCTACCTCAAATGATTGAGCAATTAAATTCATGCTACTCTGTCCCTCACCTCTTATATTAGCTACAAACTAGTAGCTTCTTTGGTGTTGCCTTAAAGGTTTATGCTGGATAATGGAGGCACACACTCCAATCCCAGCGCTTGGGAGGCAGAGGCAGGCAGAGGCAGGCAGATCTCTGTAAGTTCTGAAGCCAGCCTGGCCTACAGAGTGAGTTCTAGGATAGTAAGAAACCCTGTCATGAAAAGCCAAATGCATACACAGATATAGGCGGGCCTGTCCCACAGGGGGTGGTGCCACTGCTGGGCAGGTGGTCCGGGGTGCTGTAAGAAAGCAGGCTGAGCGAGCCATGGAAAACAAGCCAGTAAAAAAGAACATTATATGCTGTATATTCATTCCCCTGGAACCGGAGTGACATCCAGTTGTGTGCTGGCATGTTGATGCTAGGAATTGAACCCAGGTCCTCTGGAAGAGCGGTCAGTGCTCCTAACTGCTGAGCCAGCTCTCCAGTCTCAACCACGAGATTATTAATCTATTACATTTTCTTTATAGTTTGGACACTACTTTGAAACAACGTATGATGCAAACTACAACAGCAAAAAGCCACAATCTGCTCATAGTAGGTGGACTCCTTTTATTAATTCTTAACTCTTAGCACCATCTTAGTTCCTGGCAGATAGGAGGAACTCAAAAGTAAAATGAACGTGTGAATAAGTGAACAATTTCACTTTGTTTCAGTTTTTCCAGGACTAAGAAATAAGTATGAGGTCTGTTACTAAACCTCCTTGTTTATTGTGCTCCCTTTGTTTTTCTTTCTCTTAGGATTTAAGCAAGAGCCTCATTGGTTTCCTGGACATCAGCCTGAGCTGGATCCTCCTCATAACAAATGCACAGGAAAGTCAATTTACATGACTAGCTACTCAGAGCCTGTACCCACTCATTACTCTTGGTGTATATGTGCTCCAAACATGAACCAATGTTAGGATCCAGGACTCAAAGAAATAAAAAGTAGCTTCACTTTTTTCTGGAGTAGATTGTAGAAAGAAGCACTTTCTAGGTAGACTCAAACCTTGCTTTTAACATAACTTCTGTCTAAATAAACCACAGTCCAAAAACGAAACAAAACAAAAAACCAAATCTCTATTTTTGTTTACTCTAACTGTCCTGGTGGATTGTTATCAACTTAACACACACCTAGACATATCTGGGAAAAAAAGAATTTGAAATGAGAAATTATCTCCATAAGATCTGGCCCATCGACAAGCCAGTAGTGAGCGCATTTTCTTGATTAAAGATTGATGAAGGAGGGGCCATCCCGCAGGGGTCAGAGGTCTGCTGGGTGGATGATGCTGGGTGCTATAGGAAAGAAGGCTGAGCCAGCCATGGGAAACAAACCAGGGAGCAGCTCTCATGGCCCCTGCATCAGTTCCTGCCTCCAATTTTTTGTCTTGAGTTCTTGCCCTGACTTTCCTGCATGATGGACTTAAGAAGCTATAAACTGAAATAAGTTCTTTCCTCCTCAACTTGCCTTTGGTCCTGGGGGTTTATCACAACAATAGAAACCCTACCTAAGACAATATATACACAAATATACATGTGATAACAATTAATGGGGGAAAGGCCATGGATTTGAAAAAGAACAAAAAGGGTATGCGGGAGGGTTTGGAGGGAGGAAAGGGAAAGTTTGTAGTTATAATCTCAAAATTATTATTTTTTAAACAGAATCAAACTAAGGGTTTCATGAATGCTAGGCAAGTACTTTACCAATCAAAGGACATCTCCTGCTCTAAGCTTCACTTTCAGGGACAGGTGTGGTGGTATAGGCCTGGCTCTCTAGCCTTTGAGAGGCTGTGACAGTACATGCTCAAGGTCAGTCTAGGCCCTCTGGGGAAACCAGGATTGGGGCTGTGGCACCTTGGTAAGGCATTTTTCTAACATGCTTAGGACCCTGAGTTTGTTCCCCAGCACCAGAGGACAGCAGAGGGAGAAAGAGGGGGAGAGGGAAGGAGAGAGAGAGAGAGCCCTAGCCTGGTGACTCACCTTAATCGGAACACTCAGGGGACTGAGGCAAGAGCATAGCTGGGAGTTTGAGGCCTGCCTACAAGCTTCCTGGTAGACTGCAGAGTGTGACCCTATCTCAAAGCAAAACAAAGCAAAACAAAACAGAAACCCATGTTCAAGTTTGTAAACACTCCTCTCTGCTTTCCGGCATAGCTTATATGTTGCTAAGTGCATCCAAAATAAGTCGATCATAGTGTTTTTATTGTGCCCTTACTGAATAATTTTTGATGAGGACTATGAAAATATAAACAACTTTTCTATTATTACAGAGACTTTTAAACACAAAAGTAGACAGTAGCTTAATGACCTTCCTTGCGCCTCATCACTAGTTTAATGTTACTGTACTTTCTCTTTTGACTTTATTTTGGAATACATCTCAGGAATACAGTTTCATCTTAATAATTTGTGTATATCCAAAAAAATAATAAGGGAGAGACAATCAGTTCTTAACTACTTCACAACAGGCACCAAGGAATTCAGTTGATCAAACAAAGCTAAGCGTACTAGCAGATCAAGGAACAGCAACTTGACACAGGGCCTTGGTGGTGGTTCAAAAGATGCTGGATTGAGCTACTGATTTGAGGTAGGTCCTGCAAAGCAGTGAGTGCATAGAAAGAGAAGTTCAAGTTAGGGAATGTAGGGAGGCATCGGTCTTAATTGTAATACAGATAAGCATCATCTTTTCTTTCCTGTCTAATTTAAAAGGACAGTTACCAGATACATCTGTGCCTGTGTAACATCTTCTTAAACAGGATACAAAAGAGGTGCTGTTGTCTCCTGAACTCTCATTATTTTATGTTCCACATGGAGATCTGGAATTTGTGTTGTTTATGACATTGAGTAACGACTAAGTTTCATGTTTTTTCTTTAGGGCTACCTAGTTGTACCATCACTAAATTTAAAAGGCTATCATTTCTGTACTGTTGTGTAAGGCCATTTTATTTTCAACCAGTGTATGAATGTGTGTTTGTGTATGTGTCTATGTGTGTGTCTATAGATTGCTTTTCTTCTACTGTCTTTGACTTAATAAGGTAACACTGACCTGGTAGAATGAGTTAAATATTCTATTTTTTTTTTTTTTTGAGATAACTTTCTCTTTCTCTCATTCTCTCTGTCTGTCTGTCTCTCTCTCTCTGGAAAATAAAACGAGTGTTGTAGTATGTTATTGATATTTACTATTGTTTTATCTTCTTGTAACACTGCTGTTAATCCTCAGCGGCTGTATAACCAAGTCACACAGAGACTGGGTTTTTAGTTAACCTAGAACACAATGTTGGGCAATATTTACTCCCTCCTAAACCTCCAAGCCCTCAGTTTCCTAACATTTAGATTTCCCACATTATACTTGCTTTTTGTGAAATCTTAGGTCTGGTTCATGCTTTAAGTCCTCCAAGCTCTCTCCTCCCGCTCTGCTCTCCTAGCGCTCTCCTCTTCCAGCTCCTCCTCCTTCTTGCCCCTTCCAGTTCTCTAGCTCCTCCCCTCTTTCCTGTCCTCTGGCTCCTCCCATTGCACAACATTGTATCTAGTTGCTTTATTTGTGTCCTGTTTACACAAGAGTTGAGACAGGATGCTTATAGTGAGTATCACAGTGCAATATCCAGATTGAAACCAGAGAGTTGGGGGTGGGGAAATCAGCATTTGAATTAACAAGGGTAAGGCATATACATTTTAAAAGAACATTATACCAACAAACGAGTTTATGGAGTACACCACCTGGGACATTGGAATGGCCTGGGTTGAGGCAGCAATCTTGTTATAGCCTGGGGCTTTCTTTATTGTAATATTTTGGTTTCTTATTCAATCTCCATATTCTAAAATATGCCTGTCTAGATATTGTTTTTTCATGTCTTACTTTGGATAAATTATATGTATCTTGGGACTTCTCGGTTTCATATATATTTTCAATACATTGGCATCCATCTCTGCCAAGGTGTCAGGGATAAAGAATCACATCTCCTTGATACTTTCAGATATCAGCAGATATAGATAGATAGATATATGTATATATACATATATATTAAGGTATTACCAAGTGGTCCTAGCCAATCCATGCACTACATAACAAGGTCTAATAGAATAATTATTTCAGGCCACTAAAGGGGTAGGTTAAAAGGCAGGAATGAAGAACCAGAACATAGTTTTATACATAGAATTTTATCTTGCAGACTTACTGAACTCTAGTTTTCTAGAGCTTATTTCTTTGTTTATTTTGGCAGATAATTATATCTTTGTAAATGACAGTTCCACCTCTAACTCTGCATCTGTTCTAATGTGACATTGGTCAGAATCTTGGGAGCCAGAGTCAAATATCAGGAGTGATCAGGGGCCTGTCATCTTGCTTAGGATATCAAAGGGAATAAAATTAAATTCTCTTGGACAAGCATAACATTTGTACAAGATTTTCACTGTACATGACATTTATGAACATAAGGAATTTCCTTTGCTTTCTTGTCAAGAATCTGCTTCTCATTTACTTCCCCGACCTACCTTGCTCCAAAACTGTATCCATGAAAGTGGACATTTTGTCAAACCCAATGGCCACTGCGATGACAGTGTTATTTGACTTTTATATGCAGCATTTGGCCTCCTACTGCAGATCATGGTGATGGGGGGCTCCCTTCTCCAGATCATTTTAACCTCTTTTCTCATTAAGCTATGAGCCATACTTGTTGCCAATGGCATATCTGAGCCCTTCAGCTCTCATTTCTTTTTCCTGTCTCATCCATCACAGGCACACTGTCTGTAAGGCCCCCTTTGTATGTTAGCAGCAACCTCGGCTTCACTTGAGCACCGGTCTCTTCTTCGTAGGCCATCATTCTCTTGGTTTCCGTGATGCTGTGGCAAGCAGTTTCCTCACATTTCTCTGATTACTTCTCAGGTCCTTCTATGGGCTGACCTTTCTATGTAGTTCCTTTAAGTTTTCCTTTCCAACACTGCTATTGTTTGTTCTTTTCACACTTTTTTTTTTTTTTTTTTTTACTAATCCCAGGTTCTACTATCAACTACGCTTCCTTTACCTGATAGTTACATACTTCCAGATTTCTTAATGCTTAATCACACTAATTTGTTTCTGTTTGTGTGTGTTCCACAGCACACTTTCGCAGGTCAGATGACACGTGGGTTTTCTCCTTCCACCAGGGTCCCAGGGATGGATCTCAGGTCCTCATGCTTCAAAGAAAATACCTTTTTCACTGAGGCATCTTGCTGGCCCACTTCCAGTTTTTCAACCTATACTTCCATCCCAAATGTGTCTCCAGAGCAGTACAATTAAATACTCAGCTCCTTACTGAATGTCTTCATTTGAACTCCCATATCTAAACTATTTATATATCTAAACTTTACATATCTAAACTATTTATAATCCTATGTCTTGAAAATTTTTCCAAATCTGTATCTTTCTGAATTCCATAGTTCTTTATATATCTTAATTACTCTTTCTAACTTTTAATATTGTATATTACATAATAAGCCACACAATCATCAAAATCAACAAAATCATCAAAAATACAAACTAAGGAATTATTTTAGCTTTCCCTTTCTCATTCAAACAGATGCCAAATCCTGTTAATTTTATGTGCATATGATCTGTGTTTATGTCTTTTACATCTGTATTGTCTTTGTCACATTCCTAATTCTAGTTTGCTGAAACACCTTTCTGATGTCCTTATTCCCCACTTACTTTCTACTAGTTTGATCATTCCACTCATTTGGTTTAATTCCCTTATTAGCTTCTATTGACTTCCAAATAAATCCCAAAGGCTTTATTAGAGCCTTTTCTCCATTGCATCATATTCCCTTTCATATACTCAGTTCTCCAATCCTACTAAAATACCCCAGAACTTCATGCTCCCTTGCTAACGTTAGTAGACCACTGAGATTGGGTAAAGAGCAAGGATTGTAACTCAGTGTTAAAGTGCAGGCTCAGCACACCTTCAGTCCTACCCCATCACCCAAACCAAGCCAAATGCAAATTGCCAGATTCCTTATTTGATGGGTGCAGAAATGGAGAAGTTAGAACTTGCATCACGGCTAGTAAGGAATGTGAAATGATGCAGCTACTATGAAAAAGA